GAATTGGGTAGGCTAAACTGTCCGTAGTGTATGAGTGTGTTGGATGTGGATGTTTCCCAGAGATGGGCTGTGGCGACCCTGGATTAATAAAGGGACTAAGCCGAAAAGAAAATGAATGAATCAATGGAATGAACAGGGTTCCCAATTTAGGCTAAATATCAAATTCCCTGACTTGATACCTCAATGGTAGTTTAACAAAGCTTTCAATTACAGTTACAATTACAATGTACCTTTTCGGTTATTGGCTTTTTAACATCCAGTCTTCGAAGAGGTCATTTTAAAGCCAAAAAGTGTATATTATGCTGGCACGTTAGCCTTAGTTAACAATTACAGCCTGGTTACCGCATATGCCTAAAGTGAATGCCAGTTAATGAGCATAAAAGGAATAAAAAATAGCTAAAATAGACTAACAACAAGTGTGGAACAAAATGACTTTAAAATACAGCATGGAAAAAACACATTTTGATAAATGAAAATAAAAAAATGAGGCAACACACAGAAATCTCTGATATCCTTTAACTTTGAGATAAAAATCTGAAAAGTTACATGACTTTCAATGACTGGAACAAACCTTTTAAAATTCCATGATATTCCAGAAATTCCAATACTCAAGGTAAGCTAAATAAAGTCTTGAAAATACATGACTAAATGTGATATAAAGAAGTCATGATCAAGGAAAAGAAAACCCTATTTATCATAATGATCAAATTTGGAGATAAATTTTTAGGTTAATGGTGATATCTTAAGCTATAGGCCTGATTATTTGGATTCAATTACACTCTACAACATAGTTTTTTTCTGCCAGTTTGAATTTAACAACAAACATTTTTTAAACCCTTCCTTGACTGTTGATCTCTCGTGAGCAATTAAAATCATTCACACCAAAATCTGAAAACCTATGTATATAATTGCTTTCATTTTAAAATATATAAATATACTCCAGGTCTAATTTTCACCAAATTTTACATGCAATCACACACATATTAAAAAGAATGTCATGGAACTTTAATGTACATCAATGAATTTGAAGTCATGATGTCACACAGTATCTGAAGCTCTATGCGTTGACATAATGACACCAAACCTTATGTGTGACATTGTAACCCAACGACATCAATTTGTATAGGATTTACATTTTATGTGAACTAATCCTTTAATTTTTGCCCTTATCAAGGTTTCCCACAGCAGCTGATATCATTGATAGTTCACACATGTTGTTTGTTTTAGGTGTGTGATGCCATGCTGAGAAACCTGACATGCATAGGATAACACCTTCAAATGAACCCTGGATGTATGCCTATTTCCTCCTTTCTCCAAGATGCAAATAAGGGAACACAAACCAAATCTTTTGTCCCTAGTCAAGTTGTCAACACTGACCCAGGGTGGGAGAAACTACTGTGTTTATTTTTAATCTCAGGCTGAGTAAAGTCACCGGTGGCACTGTCTCCTGGTCATGCATAAGGCATGGGACACTGGCCCCCTGACCGGAGAACAAGCTGAAAATGTTAAAAAACAAAAAGGCCTCACAGCGTGGCATGATACTGGATCACGAGGACCAGATGGATGTCAAGGGAACATCTGTTGCATTTCCACAGGGGCAAGCCCCTTCAACAGGTTGTGAAAGCCTGAGATTACTCGGCTGTTTGGACGAAGGGAGAGCAAAACATTCGGCGTTTGAAGGAACGTGCTTTGTTTTCCTAGTAAACAAAAAGGTTCCCTGACGAGTCATGCATTACCATTTCAGACTGAGAGGACTTAAATGATGAGGCGAGCTCGCCTTTGAACAAACACAACTGGGAAAAGACTTTCAAGAGGATATCGAGCAAAAGCGTTTCCCCTCCTTTCTGGAAAGTCAACCTAACAATGATCACCACACTCTGTTCCAAGTCTTTGTCAGTTGCTGGTGAATTCCTGCTAAGGAACTAAAAATAATCTCTGTCTAGACACAGCAAGTGTGAAACTGAGCCAAGCGAGAAAAATGATATGCAAATGGAGTTAAGACTGGTATTATAAAAGACATCCCATGTGGGAGGGTTTTAAGAGCGCTCGGTGCCATAAAAAACTGCCAGACTGCAGCCAAAAACAAAACAAAAAAGCTAGGCTGTGTTTGTCTCAGTACCTGCAAGGTGTCCCGGTGTGTATCTAATTACATTATTGACATCCAGATAATGGTGCACGAAGCAGAGGAATGGGGCATTTAATAAGTTCCTGGCCTTAGGGCCTGCGCAATCGTTGTCTGTGGGCCTCTTCCGAGGACAGACAGGCCAATTCTAACAGGCCAAACTGGTTTTCTGCAGCGTTTCGGCTTTGAGGGTGGGCTCCATTAGCGTGACCAAAGGGAAGCAGAGCGCCCGAGAAAGAAGGGGCAAAGGGCTTTCTCTGAGAGCGGCGAGACAAGAGCAGCAGACTAGAGAGGAGCGTCAGCCGCAGACAGAGGAAGAGCACATCAAAGAAGCGCAGGGGCAACCTGCGTGACAGACATTGTATTAAAGCAACGTGGGTAGTTTTAAAAAGAGGCGAAGAAAAAAAATAAACCTGGCTGGATCAGGAACCCTGTCTGAGAAACGTTAACTTCCCTTTTTTATCTACATCAGACTGAGAGCGCATGAAATTTGTGTTTCAGACAGAGATTAGATGGGGAAGCAATGATACGATGGACACTTTGATTATTGCACGGAGATGCTTTGATTTTGCCGGACGAAGGTGGAGCTATTAAATAACCAAAGGCATATCAGATATATTTAGCACATACGTGCTCATGTCAGAATTAATAGACAATTGCAAATGATAATTTTAAATGATTTTATATCGACAACTATAAACCTTTAAATAACGTTACTTTTTAGCTAGTTGGCACAAAAAAATCATCAAAAATATTTGCATATAAATACAAGCAAGAAGGTCGCTGGTTTGAGCTCCAGCTCAGTTGGCATTTCTGTGTGGAGTTTGCATGTTCACCCCATTTTCATGTGGGTTTCCTCAGGGTGCTCTGGTTTCCTCCACAGTCCAAACACATGTGCTATAGGTGAACTGAATAAACTAACTGTGTGAATGCAAGAGTGCATAGGTGTTTCCTACTGTTGGGTTGCGGCTGGAAGGGCAACCGCTGTGTAAAACATATGCTGGATCAGATGGCGGTTCATTCCACGGTGGCAACCCCTGATTAATAAGGGACTAAGCCGAAAAGAAAATGAATGAATAAATGAATAAAATAAATATGTATTTATATAGACACAAAACACACAAAAATCACTTTCGTTTGAAGTAAGATTAAAACAGCAGCAGACAATCTAAACAAAACATCAATTTGAACTATTACCAAAAATTTCTAAAGCTAATCATATACTATATGCTGATTTTAAAAAAGTATAAAAATGAATCAAAGAGATATTTGCAGTTTTAATTTTCTATCCATACAATAAGATAAGTTCTAGTTGTATAAAATAACATTACAAATTTACCAATAGTACAATTTCTGCAGTTTAACATCAACACAAATGAATAAAACCTCCCAATCATTAATACCTAATGCATTACATATTTCTAGTGAACTAAACCTATAAGTAAAGTGTGATCCTGAGGATTGATAAATCAAAGTACACTAAGGATCAGTCTATCTGATTTATGTGCTCAAATCAATTGAAAGGCAGTACAGAATAGATCCCCCCCCAAAAAAAGACATCATATGGCAATTGGCAGGCAAGCCAGACGCAACCTAGTTAACACTATAAATGTCCCACAGTCCTCCGAAACAAGTCTGGGGACTCCAATGAGTTAAATTACACACATGAGAAAGGTGCACACTGAGGAATCCTTGGAGAGGAAGCTGGCTAAAATCAGCAGGAAGCAGCAGCGGGTGAGGCTGGGCGAGGAGTGAGGTGGCAGACAGGGAGGAGACTCCACAGCACAGACAGTTGGAGGGCTTAAGCCTGGCGGACAGGGACTTGTCAAATGCAGCTGTTGCGGACACTGATTGATAGAGTTTGTATTCCAGCTCAAATCTGAAAACAGCTCAGCCAGTGCCAAGTAGATGGGTGTGTCAACTCTTCAAACAACAAAATGAACACCATCATCTGGAGATGGTAAACTGAGTAAAAGGAACGTGATACACACAACCAGTGTAATAAAACTTATGTAGAAAAACAAACAGCATTACATTCTCTAAAAGGAGAAAGCAATCTTTGGTATTAGGGATACTTAGGCCCCATTTACACTGCCAGTTTAATGTGAGCCAATTCCGAAAAAAAAAAAAAAAACGCACCATATAGGACACCATATATAAACCATAGGCGCAAGCTGCGATGATGGCCCTTTTCCTCCTCCTCTGCCTCAAAATCATCGTAAAGTTGGGCGAACTTTGCATAATTCACAGAGCTAAAAGCAAGACCATTTCTTCCATCGTGGCTAGTGTGGCTCAGATGCTTGAACCCGCCTTTACGCATACACAATGTTGTAAATTGTATGGCAAGTGTAAACACATGAATCGGAAATGGGTCACAATTAAATGAACATGTAGACAGACATAAAAATCAGATATAGACAACAAATCGAAATAGGGCATCAAGGCCTGACAGTGTAAATGCGGCCTTAATGTGCTCTAATATTACAAGGAAAATATCAAATGAAATTTTAAAAATTGTGGTTTGAGTCATGCTACATATGTTATGTATATATGTACAATGCAACATTTAAATACAAGCAGCACAAACAACTAATAAACAAGTTTATTTTATCAAATGACTTAATTCTTTTACAAATAACAGTAAAATCCTAATCGCTTTAGAGGATTTTGTTTCACCTGCTACTAAACCAGCATATGTGTGGCCCTTGACCTGAGGATAACAAACATGTCAGTCAGCTCATCAAAACATGTGGCTGTTTGCATCCATGTCTCCAGTGGGTTATAAAACAACAACCAAGGAGGAGAGCAAAAATAATAAAAAAAAACGTTCAAGCAAACAACACTTCAAACCCACTTTCCACTTTGAAGTTTGACTGAATCATATCCTGCTAGGTAGCACCTCCTTCTCCTCCAAAAGGCTGATGAGTTGACTGAAGCTCTCTTTCACGTCCTCCATGTTATTGGTTGAGGTGCCAGCAAGAATCCATCTCTTCCCTCGGGCCAGCGGCTCCAATTCAAAGAACTTTCGTATCTGAAAAACAAAGAAAGAAATATTTAATTTATTACGCCTGTGTTCTAAAATAGCACCAAGATCATTTTGGTTTATCTTAATTTATGGTGCAGATGTCAGATTTAATTTAATGAGACTTCAGGAGGTTTATGGACTGAAATTGAAGCTCAAATTTTAACTGAAAAACTGTTCATATACATAACTTAAAAATGACAGCATTATTATTATGTTAGGGATCCAAATTTATGAATCATTTTGCTTTTTTATTCATCCAGTGTTTTTATCTTACTGTAAGTCTTGTAGTCTATACTATTTTTATGTACAATGCCTTTGTTACTCAAAATAAAGTTAAGATAAATTAATGAGTACTTTTTTGTAAACAAAACAATATATATGGAGTAAATGAGACAAATTAGGCTAGAAGGGAGGTTTAAACGAAATGTTAATAATTTATTTTTAGCAGTTATTTTTCTCTTTAGTAACAGATTAGTGTTCACTATCGTTTTTATAAACAGACGATTTGCGAAAATGGTTCTATTTACATTTGGCCACATAAATGTGTTTTCGCTAAACTGAGGCCCCGTTTACATTAAAACGGAACAAAAACTATTCAAGTCCACGCTGGCATTTCACCTAGTGTTTCAGAAAAGATCTCCATCCACACTACATGAATGTCCAGGATATACAGCTGAATCTCATCTCACTATAGTAGTTAAATATCTAATAGAATCTAGATGTTAAACATCTAATCATCTCACTATAGTAGTTAAACAAAACTCTTTGGTCTTTTGAATCTATTACTTGTTCTCAGGTATTGTGTTTTGGCTGAGTGCAAGTTAATACAGTATATCAATTTATGTAACCATATATACTGATTCTACACATTTGACTGATTGCTTGCCTTTGTTTCCTATATTGTAAAAATGTATTGTATCATTGACTTCCATTATTGATTATTAAACCTGATATTCAGCAATAGAGAGAGGGGATATTTCATATTTTTCAATAAAAATGAAAGGAGGCAGTAAAATTATAACCTCAATTTTGTTATAAAGATGCATGCAGTGAAGATGACGATCCTATAAATATGTAGCTATGCAAATAGGCAGTTCCTTAGATCATGTTTTTATTTTATTGTTAAGATAGTGAAACAGCATAACAAAGGTGATATAAATAATGTTATACAGTACACTGTTAAATTTGAAGATTCACCCGACGTGTTTGGGAGTTTGTTTTTCCATATCAAACTTGCAAAGTCTGAACTAAAATAAAGGATGCAAGACTGAACTTTGTGCACTTGATATTGAGTAAAAGTTCCAATCAGATATTCAGGGTAATGAAAACTTCAGGGTAGTGTGGATGGAAGGCGTAACCGAAGCAAAACTACGTTTTAAAACTAAAAGGTATTAGTGTAAACAGGGCCTGATATGTTTGCAATCTATAAATTCTGCACTATATGCAAATGTATCTTTAAAATATTAATTATTATATTATTTAACTTTAACTGTTACATTTTATTTGACATACAAGTGATTTTATATGTGGGATACATCATCAGTTTAACATCATCAGAAGCGCACAGGGCTCTGCATCATTACAGACTAAATGAAACATCAATGTTTGTTGTAGACATGTGCTAACAACCATTTAAAACTATAAGGGTTTTGTGTATACTCTCACCAAAAAAACTACCTTTGTTAACTTTATTTTTTTTTTTTTTACTATTTTTCCTCTCCTTTCACAGAGGCACTTCGGGTGTGTTTTTTTAATTTAATTTTAATTATTAATTTGATATTAATTTTACATTCTAATTTTGTAACATAAGGGCTAATGTTTGGAAAAAAATGAATGATAGTATGAGACAATAAAACAAACATCAATAACTATCATCTGTGGAGTGGCGTTGAATTATAGCTTATTTGATTTGCTCTATTAAATTTTAAGTCATTTAGCATACACCCATAACATTTTTACATTTTGGAAGAGAAATACTTCAACAACCCGATGCATCTAGACCTGTCCTTTTTTATCTGGAATGCATCCATACCACCTCCTGAAGTGCTTTGAGCAATTGGATTGATATCCACCCTCAATATGTTTTTAGGGTATTTACACTTGCCTGTTTCACAAATAGATATTAGATCAGAAAAAAACAACATATAAAGTGACTAGATGTACACAGCCTCAAAAATGTTAAACTGCATACATTTTTTAAGATGCACCATAAAGGGCTACTTTATCATAAAATTATACTAAACAAAAAAGTCCTGAAATAGCTTTTATTTTAAAAAGGTTTGGTATCTACTTATTAGGTCAAAATATTTCTCACAGATGATCAGAGACATGTCAGTGTCCAGGCACTGTAAATGTGCAGCTGGGAAACTATGCAGATTTAGTTAATATGTACATGGCGTACTCAAAACTGTTAGAAACAGCTGATTACAAGGATCATATGTCAAAGCTTTGTGCTCTGTACTTGATTATACTTTTATGTCAGCACTTCATTAAAGCATGAGAAGATCAGAACCATCTGTTAAATTTGATCTATTTGAGGAATATCATACAGCTTCTGCTCAAAAGACTCTACCAGAGTAACTCTGTAAGTCATACCAAAGACGTTCTCAGCTTTGCAGGAGTCAATTGTGATTATAAAAATCACTTTTAAGCCTGGAAAATATTTGATGCTGTCCTTTCTATTTAACTGATTTCATTTCACACCACAATAAATCATGTTCTTCAGGTCACAAATATCTAAAAGACTTGACAGTACCTGGAATATATAAGTCCACACAAGGAGCTTTTTTTCTTTCTTTTTTTGCATTTGGCTCCAAAACTCTGAATCTTCATGATAATGATTGGGGCTCAGACACACTCCCTCAGGGTTATTAGAGATCAAAAACACCTCTTAAGCCTTAAACTTTCACATAATGCATCTTATTTGTTAACCTGGTAGTTTGACAAAGAGACAGTTCATCCAAAGATATATATGTATATACATATATATATACATATACATACATATACATATATATATATATATATATATATATATATATATATATATATATATATATATATATATATATATATATATATATATATATATATATATATATATATATATATATATTCATTCATTTTCTTGTCGGCTTAGTCCCTTTATTAATCCGGGGTCGTCACAGCGGAATGAACCGCCAACTTATCCAGTAAGTTTTTACACAGCGGATGACCTTCCAGCCACAACCCATCTCTGGGAAACATCCACACACACACTCATACAATATGGAAAATTTAGCCTACCCAATTCACCTGTACCACATGTCTTTGGACTGTGGGGGAAACCGGAGCACCCGGAGGAAACCCACGCGAAGGCAGGGAGAACATGCAAACTCCACTGCGCCACTGCCTCGCCCTATATATATATATATATATATATATATATATATATATATATATATATATATATATATATATATATATATATATATATATAAATATGTATATATAGGTTTGTTTTTCCCCAACGCCTATCACATACCCTTTGGAGTATCAGGGACTGTTTACACTAATACTTTTTAGCTCTAAAACACAAATGATTTGCTACGGTTACGCCTTCTGGCCACACTACCTCAAGCGTTTTGGAAATGCTGCTGCTCCTTGTCAGTTTAGATGGGGGAAAACTGAGACATCTGAAAATAAAGGCATGGCTGTAGACATTCCCCTATCTTAATGGAGCTTTTCCTCAATATTTAGTGCACAAAGTTCAGCTTAGCATACTTTCCTTAAGTTCAGACTTCGCAAGTTTGATATGGAAAACAAACTCCCAAAGACATGTTGGGTAAAACAGTGTACTTTATAACGTCATTTGGATCACCCTTCTACACTTTCACTACCTTAACAATAAAGTGAAAACATGATACAAGGAACTGTTCATTTTCATATTAACTTAACAGACACCAAAAATGTTGAGGCATCTACATATTTATATGATCGTCATCTTCATTGTATACATATTTATCACAAACTGGATCCTATGATATAACTGGTTCCTTTCATTTTCTTTGAAAAATATGAAACACATCCTCTCGTTTGCTGAATATTAAGTTTTAATAATCAATAATGGCCATTAAAAAAGTCTAACACACAATAAGTTTATACAATATAGGAAATTAAGGCAAGCAATCAGTCAAACGTTTAGAATCAGTATTCGTGGTTACATAAATTAATATATTAATTTTTTTTTGCACTCAGCCAAACACGGTAGATTCAATAGATATAATGCTGAATAGATTCAAAAGACCATTACATAGAGACAAGATAAGTTAAAAATCACATCTGACAACTATAGTAAGATGAAATGCAGTGGAAGATCTTTGATGAACTGTCCAACCTGCGCTGCTCATTTTTAGTGGTGAAATGTGAAAAAAGATATTTTCAGAAACTCTAAGTGAAATGCCAGTGTGGACATGGATCGTTTTCATTCTAAAACGTTGTTTCAAAACTAAAACGTATTAGTGTAAACAGTGCCTAAGGCATGTCCTATCGGACCATTCTTTGACATTTTAACTTTTTAAAAATGTTCTTATGAACTATTCCTTTAAATATACATGATCACTTAGAATCTACAGGAAACAAGAAATGTCATCAGCATCAGTTCAGACCTAGCCTCATACATTTGGACCTAGCATGCTTATACAGTTGAAGGCACAAATATTAGCCTTCCTGTGAAATTTGATTTCTTTTAAAAAGATTTCCCAAGTGCTGTTTTACAATTTTTTCAACACATTTTATACAATATACAGTTGAAGTCAGAATTATTCGCCCCCCTATGAATATTTTTAAAAAATATTTCCCAAATGATGTTTAACAGAGCAAGGAAATTTTCACAGTACGTCTGATAGTATTTTTTGTTCTGGAGAAAGTCTGATTTTGTTTTATTTTGGCTAGAAAAAGCAGTTTTACATTTTTTTAAAAACTTTTTAAGGACAAAATTATTAGCAACTTCAAGCTATATATTTTTT